TAGAAAATACAATTGAAGTAAGTGTAAATCACACTTATAAATTAAAATCAACAACAAATATTAATGTTAATAGTCAAAGTCAAAACCTGACTATAGTTGGTAAAACTGCTTAGAGTGAAGGGAAAACATACTTTTAACGCAATTTCAGACGAATTTCGCCAAAAACAAGGCAATTTCGCGAGAAAATCGCGAATTTCGCGTTTTGAGTCCAATTTCGCGTTTAGAGTCCAATTTCGCGTTTTGTCGCGGCCGAATTTCGCGTTAAAACGACGTGGAAATTCATCACAAACTTAAATCTTAACGTTTTAGAGCTTTTGAGCAAATTTCGCGATTTCGCGCATCGCGAAATTTACCTGTCTCTGGTAACAATAAAAACGAAAAGCTTACTTTTAACCATTCCCGCTCTGTCAGACTGTCAGTGTAATCAACTTCTTTTCGCTGTCTAGATCCTCTGCCAAGTTCTTGTGTATCCTCATCCTCTTCTTCACATATATTCTCAACCTAGAGACATAAAACAATTTTTTTAAAAAACCTGCACAAGGCAAAAAAATTTCAATAGGAATTTAAACTGAATCTTACTTCTTCATCATCCCTCATTAGGAAATCAGGGAGTTCAGACTCTTGAATAAGACGACTCTGTGTTTCACTTTCTCTTCTTTGAATATCCATTTTTTGGAAGAGGTCAAACTCGTTCTCATGGCGGGCAATCATTTGATTAACAACCTCATCATCAGGAACTTCATTTTCCTCCTATGAAAATATTGAAAACAGAAGAGGGTATTTAGATAAGAGCAAATTGTTAAAGAAAAATGTGTTAATAAAATGTTCTATTCATAAAGAAAAAACAAACTTAAATTTGGGGGATAAAAGGCTAATCTTACCTCATCCTCCCTATCGTCTTGATGAAGAATGGTGTTAAGGAACTGTTGTCGCTCTGATCCAGTGGACTTTTGATCAAACATGCCAGCCTGAATTACCTTCTCATCCATGTTCAACTTGTATCGGGCAGCAGCTAAAATTCTTTCTTCCACCGAGTTGACAGTCATCAAACGTAGGACTCTTACCTCATTCTTCTGCCCAATTCGATGGGCTCTGTCCTGGGCTTGTAAATCCTACAGCAACACATAAAAAAAGGAAAAACAACACATAAAAGAAGAACAAGGCTTGTTTTAGTCACATAATGATTCCCTTAAAACATACCTGGTGAGGATTCCAGTCGGAATCAAAAATAATAACTGTATCTGCAGCTTGCAAGTTCAAACCAAGACCACCAGCTCTGGTACTCAGAAGGAAAAGGAAATATTCGGACGCAGGGTCATTGAATTTCTTTAAAAGGTCTCCTCTATCCTCTGCTTTGGTAGTACCATCCAGGCGCATGTAAAGGAACCCACGCCAACTAAGATAGTCCTAAAAAATAAAATAAAAATTGTAAACGTCTAGCTTTTGGGTGTAAATGATAGCATAAAACTGGATGGGATCTTACTTCTAAAATTGTCATTAGTTGAGTCATTTGGCAAAACATTAGAACACGATGGTTTGTTGCTTTCAGTTTAGGAAGAATACGGTCCAGGAGTTCAAACTTGCCTGATGCTCGGAATAAATCAGGACTTCAAACAAAACAAAATGAATAAATCCACAATAAATTAAAACAAGATGCAGAATCACCATGCGAATGAAGTGTCATGTAGTACATACCCCGTTACAATACCGCTGTGTTGTCCATGATGCTCACAATAAGCTTTTTCAATATGTTGAAACATAAAGGGATGATTGCAAAGCTTCCGCAATTGCATGATAGTGTTCATTAGAGCCTTAGCACCTCCTTTGCCTTGCTTTCCTTTCTCAGAGCCGTCAGTCAACATAACACCTTGTGTCTGCATTACCCTGAGAAGATAGAAGAAAAAAGCTACAATGTAATCTAAATTCTGATGGTTGGAAGATGTACATATTTATAATAAAATAAATGGCTAACCTGTACAATACGCGCTGCAGACCAGACATATCACATTTTATGATATATTCAACCTTGTCAGGTAATTGGGACTCAACCTCTTTCTTCAAACGCCGCAGGAGGAAGGGACGAAGAACTTTGTGAAGACGTCTGATGATGAGAATAGTTTCTTCTTCATTTAACTCTACCTGGAAATCAGAAACCAAAACAGAAACTGTAAGGAAACTAGGAGGTGAAAGAGTCATTCAATGATTGCAGTTTAAAGCAAAGAGTCTTACCTTCTCTCCAGTAGTAGCAAATGGGGCATTAAACCACTGCTCAAAGGTGGAACATGACTTAAATATTGAAGGAAGAAGAAAATTGAGCAAAGCCCACAACTCAGGAAGTTTGTTTTGAAGTGGGGTACCAGTCAGTAGCAGCCGATGAGGAGCAACATAGTGGGTGTTCAAAACTTGTGTAAGTTTACAATGGTGATTTTTCATTCTGTGCCCCTCATCTATAATGAGGAATTTCCAATGCAACTGAAAGAAATTGGTTATTTATAATATGGAATTGAAGCTTTAAATATAAGAGGCAGGTGAGGAAGAGAGAGAGGTAGATAAAAAAAAGTACCTTTGCCAGAACTGATTTATCCTTGATGATGTACTCATAAGTTGTGATGAGAACATTAAATTTAGATGCTCTCATCTGGTTTTGTAAGTCTCGTCGGACAGCAGGGGAACCTTTGTATGCAACCACTTGCACAGAAGGCGCCCACTTCTCAAACTCAAGTACCCAATTGGACATGGTCGATAGAGGGACAATGATGAGGTAGGGACCATTAACTTTTTTAATTTCCATCAAATAAGTTATGCAAGCAATGGTTTGGATAGTCTTGCCCAAACCCATTTCATCAGCAAGAATTCCATTCAGATTGTTATTGTACAAGGATACCAACCACTCCAAACCACGAATCTGGTATTCCTTCAGTTTGCCATTCACCATGATGGATGCCTGCTGAGTAACCTTCTCATTCACTGTGTGGGCAATGCTGTAGTAGGTCTGACCATCTGCTGATGACTTGTACTCATCATCTTCAGTTTTGGCTTTCAGAATAACTTGCTTAGCTTTGTCATCATCAGATATCCGATCATCTCTGCTCTCATCATCTTGCTGCTCTTCATCAGAGGAACCGGAATCATCTTCATTTTCTTCATCACTATCGTCTAATCTTTCCCAACCTGGATGTTCCTCCAACCACTGCTGGAGCTCAGAAGCCATAGGTGCATCTTCTCCAGAGAGAACAGTACCAGTAGTTTTATCCAGAACTGCTACTCTCATTTCTGATTGAGAGGAGTCGTCATCTAAATCATCATTCTTCCGTTTTTTGGTTTTCTTTTTCTTACGCATTTGTTTTCTTTGTTCCTTAAGTTCTTTTTGAACTTTAGCCTGTTCTGCCTTGTGCTCTTTAACAAGATTCATGAGATTCATGATGTACTCATCAGTTTGATCCAGCAAGAATGCCAATCTTTTATCCTTCTTCTGATCAATCAATTTACGGTAACCTTCTTCATCTTCGTTCATGAGCCTCCGCATACGTTCTTTTTCAATTCTTTCTTGCTCCTTCTTCTGTTCACGCTCTGCATTTGCATGATAACCCACAACTGATTTATTAATACGTTGAATTTTAGCAAGGTTATTGCGGTGGAACTCTTTAAGATCCTTGGCATGCTGCAAAACTGCATTGAGATACTCCTGTAAAATTAAAGGTGGTTTATAATGAACTGGTCACAAACAGAAAAACAAGAAAACCGTTAACCTTCACCAATTGTATTTGCTACAGTACTTCAATAAAAAAAAAAAAAAAATGAGCACAAAGTTTCCCAAACCTGATGTTTCTGCCTCCTTTTACGTTCAGCTTCCACCTTTTGTTGTTTTTCTAGTTTCTCAGTGGCACGAGCCTCCCTTAAACCTTGTCTCTTAGGGCGCTTATTAGTTTTTATACTAGCAGCAGTTTCAAGCATAGTATCTTTACGGGTGCAGGCAACAACCTGCAAAATAATTATTGGTGTTAGATAAAATAATGAAAAAAAAAAAACTGATAAAAAAAAAAGCAGGAATATTTTAAAGTGTTTTGACCACATTGCTAACCTCAGACCGTAAATGTCTCTGAAAGTTTAGCAATCGCAAAGCTAAGAGTTCAATTTGAGCTTTCACACGCAAATCTTCATCCATGTTAGTAGGTAGGTTGCTTAGTTCATCCATTCGTAAAGCTATACGAGCAGCAAGTCTGGAAACAAAATTTGACTGTTGAGTAAAATGGTATACAAGAACAAACAAGGAGAATAATTTAATTAAGAGTTAATTGCTGACCTATTTTCTCTTTCTTGAAGAATGATGGCAGGATCTAGGCCTGGAGGCTTTGTTATAAGTGTTACACGGCTTCTCATAGCAGCTTGTTGTGCAGCATGCTGCTGCTGTTGTTGCTGGGCATTTTGAGGTACAGGCTGCCCTGAGACCACTTGAGTATGAGGTTGAGATGGAATAGATGATGGTAACGGAGTCTGTTACAAAAAAATGATAATTACAATTACAATTAGACAATTACTTGGGTAGCAAAAAGTCATACAACATAGTGAGTAAATATAGGGAGCGGCGAGCGCATAAAGTCTTACTGGAAGAGGAGGTAACGATTCACTTAGAGATCCTGAAAGTGAGCTTGCAGGAGGAAGTGGCCCTTTTCCTTGAATGGCCATAGCAAGAGAGCTGGTGAGTGGTTGATTCCGAGCTAAAAGCCGGTATGCCATAAATTGTGTTCTCAATTGATTTAGCTGGCTGGCAGTCAGTTTAAACTATGAATAGAAAAATATTAAGTCATTATTTAAGAAGATAAATCTATTTGAAATATCAGACAGAGAACATTTTACAAAATGAATACTAACCTGAGGAGCAGGTGAATCACAAGAAGGTGTAACTGTAGGAGGAGGGCATGCAGAGAGGTGGAAATTTCTCAGTGCAACAAGCTGGAGGTATCGAGGATCAGTTTGTAAGCCTTTGTGTTCCAGTGCCTCAATAGCATTTTCAATCCCTTTGAGTGTTTCTTCATGGCTAACCTTTGATGCCTGGAATAAGTTAATATACAAGTAGAGCATTAACATCCGAAAGAGTTTTCTATTTAAAAGAAAAACACAAGAAGAGTGGAGGACAATTTACCTTGGTGGTGGAAACTGGTTGTGCAACAGTGCTGATTGAATCACCATTGGATGGGTTGACTGGAACATCGTGTAAACCATTCGAAATTCCATTAACACCGCCATTAGGGATATTTCCACTCATGTTGCCTGAGGTACCTGCTTGGATACTACCAGGTAGTCCAGCTGGGCCACCTGAATCAAGATCCTGAAAATACAAACAAAAAAGAAAGTATTAATGCTGACATCAGAAGTGGAGGGGAGAGCTCACTTCCAGAAATTCTAGATTATAAAAAAGTTTATTCCAAATCGTCTTTCCTCGTAGAAAATACAGTCAAAAATTTGCTCATGAAAATCATGGATGACCTCATCGACAAATCATAATAAACGTTCGTGAACATGAAATTATTTTTTCTACTGACAAGATGCCGACGCTAGAGAACAATTCTAGAGTTTAAACTGACCTTTGTTAAAATCATGGTTGGGGTCAAATCATGACCGACTCAATTGCTTCACTTCGGAAGATGAGTAAACGTCAATTTCCAGACTAAGAAAAACTATGAAGAGTCAAGATAAATAAAAACAATCTGAAAAGGACGTTTGAAATGTGAGGTTAACTTCTACTGGTTTTGACGCGCTCTGCAAACACAAACATTCACCAGAGGGCGCTGCTGAAGTCGGGATGAATATGAACAACTCATCTTGTGAAAAATGCACAATGACACAAATAAATATCAGTAAATTCGGATCAGAGCGTATTGACTATTACTTTAAATATGATAACCATTATACAAAGAAAACATTTCTGGTATTCCCTTTCTGCTGCCCGGGTTGAAAGCGTTAATTTTCTTTTTTGGGGTTGGTAGCACTAAAAAATATTCAGGGAATATTTGAAGGTCAGGAGAGGGGAGGAGGGAAGTGAGAAGTGAAGAGGGAGTGAGTGAGTGAGAGATTATTTTGAGAATGGTTTTGAGCAGCGGGACTCAATTGAAATTTCTTCAGACTTTACGACATTTGCACCATTGTCGACGTTATTCAATTATGAGACCATCCGTATATGTGACTAGGCCTGATGTTCCTGCTGTTGGTATAGACCTACTGAAAGAAAAGTAAGAGAAAGATAGCTATAGCTGTCTTTATCTTCTGCTACCTTTTCTGCTGAGAATCAATCTTGATGCCTTGTTTTTCTACCTTTCTGTACTATTTGTTAATTGTCATTTCAGATGTTCTGTTCATTTATGGACGGGAAATATAGCTCCACCTCGTGATGAGCTATTAAAGGGTATCATTGGAAAAAATGCATTGTTCTGTAACATAGCGGATAAAATTGATAAGGATGTATTTGATGCAGCAGGTTATTATCTTCCTTCAGTTCTGCTTTCCTTGCTTACATTTGAGGCTTTGTTGTGTCCTAACTGAATCATTTTCTACTGTTGTATTTAGGATCAAATTTAAAAGTAGTTGCAACCATGTCAGTGGGTTACGAGCACATTGATTTAGAAGAGGCTAAAAAGAGAGGTATTAAAGTTGGATATACCCCTGATGTTTTAACTTATGCTGTAGCAGAGCTAACAGTTGGCATTCTTTTGGCAACATCAAGAAGGCTTTTTGAAGCGCATAGAGAAATTTTTACGTAGGTAACAACTGCATTGGTGTTTCAGTACCTTGATACACAGAATGTTGCTTTTAATATAACTATGATTGTCAGTGGTGGTTGGACTTCCTGGTCCCCTTCCTGGATGTGCGGACCCAGCATTAGAGGCAAAACTGTTGGTATAGTAGGCTTTGGACGTATTGGCCAAGAAACAGCTAGATTACTGAAAGGTTTTGGGGTGAAGCAATTTTTGTACTCTGGACGAAAAGATCATCCAGAGGCTTCCGATATTGGGGCACTTCGCTTGCCTATTGAAGAAATGCTACCTCAATGTGACTTTGTAATTTGTGCTTTGGCGCTGACCCCCGAAACAAAGCACTTTTTCAACGAAAAGCTGTTCAACTTGATGAAGCCGTCAACTATTTTTGTGAATACAAGCCGTGGTGGTAAGCAGAATGTATCTTCAATTTGAACAAAATTTTAATTTGAATTATTGTCATAATATTGCCATAATATTATTTTTTTCATAATTACATCTTGATCCCATGTAAACAGGTGTTGTGGATCAAGACGCACTGATAAAAGCCTTAGAGACTGGAGTAATTCGAGGTGCTGGTTTAGATGTTATGACTCCTGAACCTATTCCTTCAAATCACCGTCTTCTTTCGCTACCAAACTGTGGTATGTTAACACTAATTTCTCCTTTAAGAATAATTTCAAGTAAAGATGACTTTGTGTATGGTTCATTCATGCTTTAATTTTCAGTTGTTATCCCACATATTGGCAGTGCAGGAATTGAGTCTCGTAATGACATGGCAGAACTTACTGCCCGTAATATATTGACTGCATTGGAGAATAAGCCAATGCCTGCTGAACTGAAGCTATAGTATCAAAGTCTTTGTGTTGTGTCTCATGTCAATGTACTGCATATTTAAAATTCCATTTTTGTATTTGTTATAAATATTTTTTCCAATGAAATAAATAAGAAAATTAATATTTGTGCAGGCGATTTTATCTCATTTATTTAGTCTCGAGATGCTTAAAAGCATGGATGAGTGCTTAAAAGTCTCTTAATTCACCAATTAAATATTAACTGTTTGATGAAGGAGCTGCTCACCAAAATACCTTCAGCTAATGATAAATGATACATTGCACATAGTTTATTCATTATGACAAAACGGGAAAATAACAAACATAAACTATATATTAAAAAACAAAGATTTCTGAAATCTAAATTATAATAGCTGTATATTTACAAAACTGTTAGACCTAAAGTCTAATGGTGGTACTCCCACTCACATAGAACTTATGCTGTTCTGTACATGGCACTAATGATAACAAATATTGAACTAGTAAATCTGTTGTGACAACTGTGAAGTGGTACTTCTCTTTATTTGAAAAAAATATTGAGAACTTTCAATTTACTATTCTTGATTTTCTGAGCATGACTTCACTAATCACAAACGCATGTCCTTGTGACAGCAAAGACAAACCAGTTCACGAGGAAACCTCCTGGTGCAACATTAAAAAATTTAGTGACTAAAATGATCACTGGAAGTCTACAGACGGACAGACAGAAAAAAAAAGCCAACCTGAGATCGCTCAATTTCAAGTGGACTACAAAGTAAAATAGGCTTACATTATATTGAAAATCTTTAAAAGATGTTACTAGGAGACAAATTTCAGGATTCAATCCTGTAAGTTATTTTTGCAGTCATTTTTCTATTAGCTGAAGGCTTGTTTGAGCTTTCAAGCTCAGCCTCATCAAGAAAAAACAAAATGAGATCTATTCACTATCTAAGATAATATTACAAATTATATATGCTGTATTTACAAACACGTGAGCAATGTACCACTTATACCCACAAAGCAGCAGGATCTGAGGGAAGACCAAATACATTCAACAAATTCATATAGTGCCCACCAAATATTTATTTAATTGATATTTACAACGGTTGACACATTACTTTTTGTTATGCATAGGCAAGACTCATAGCCCTAGGCTTATAGCCCCCTACCCTCAGAACTACGAACTAATTTACAAAACAAAAGGCAGTCTGCTGGTAGTCTTAAGTAGAAATTGAAACTATCATCATCATGTTTTGTGGGTATTTGAACAGATGACTATATATTGACCAAACTTTTGATTACTCAAACATTTAAATTTTAACTGTTCACCAATACATACGAATAGCAAAACTAGATGAATAATATTTTCAAATATCTACTTTCAGCCGGACTAAACCACTTCACAGTAAAATCACTTGTAGCATAAATAAAAACAAATCAAATTGACAGTGGCATGGGCATTATCCACAACCCACAATATTGAACACAATCAACTTTTTAAGTACGTAGCAAACTTGTCACATGTGCTTGAGATGTTGCTATCGAATCGCTTACCGCTCCTTCATATGAATTATTTATCCTAACACAGTATTGTTTAGCAATACTTAATTGTCATCAAGAGGTCCCAGCCTTTCTGTACTTTCAATTCTTTTGAATTTTATCTTTTTGTGATATAGAGAAAAACTTATTTCAAACCATTCTGACAATTATACACATCTGTAGAACATAATTATTTTTGCCAGCTTTATAATGTTGAGTACAAAAAGCTGGATTTCAAGTTCTTAAAAAGTTGTACCTGCTAGATGAACAATTTGAAACTATCTCAAAAGTAAATGAATTTTACACATTCATTTATAAATTGTTCTGGCTACCAGCATGGGGTCTAAATGGCACCCTGTATCAAATTCTTATGTACTAGAGTGCTGTGCTTCCGAAATATTCACTCAAATACCACATCACTTACCAAAGAACAAAATCATGCTAACTCAAAAGCAAACATTCTAGTATCTCAGAACACTAGGGACATGACAAATTTGTGGAGATCGTCAATTGACAAATAATCTCCTCTAACATGCGGAATTTACTATGTCAGCCAATCCCTCATAAACTTATACTACTATATGAAATAAATACTTGACAATAACTAAAAATTTATCATGTCCCTATTATACAATTTATACAAAGTGGATATTGAAGAAGTGTTTGCCACTTACATTTTCGACAACAGAGCAAAAGTAAGATAAGCAGTTCTGTTGAAGTGAGTCAAAGTTTTCTCCCAAGTGTTTACTGTTACAAAGACGGTGAATGGTTGAAAGAAAGAAAATTACTTATATGCGCAGTATTTGGTCCATGGACAGCAAGGCTCAATCTTAATGTCTTCCTCTCATTGTGCATCTCAAACGGGCATCTTGGCCACCTGCGTAAGGGTTGACTTTTCGAGAGAAACAAACGGTCGGCTCGATTCGCCAGTTGGGTCACCTCACCCGGCCTCGTGCAAAGTGCACCAAGCTGGCACCCGCTACGGCATTCAGTTCACGGAGCGAAGGTCCGATATCAACACCTCGCCGAGGGAACTGTAGGCGCGCCTCCAGGACCACCCGCGGGACCCTCCAGGAGCTGGAGGTCCTTGAAGGCAGCTGCAGCCCTCCCCGGCGCGGCACAAGCGAAGGACCTAACAAATCACAACCTTAATGGAGGAAAGCGCACTAATCCTCTTGGGGCCTCGGCGGCTCGTCTCATCAGCCCGCTCTGGCACAGGCCCGGCCCGGACCCCGGCTGACAGAGGGAATGACAACAGAACAGCCACACGCCCGACTCGTGTCTTGGTTTGAGGCCGTTCGGGCCGTTCTTCACTCCCTACTCCTAAACTAAAGTCTTTGGTAACAAGAAACAGCTCCTTTCACTCCCCCTCCCCCCTGGCTAACGCCCGGAGCGTTCATCACTTAGTGTTCGTCTCCAGGCCAGCAACAACAACAACATCAACAAGAAATTACACCACTTAAAATAAAACACTTCACCAAGAAGAGGAAGAGACGAAAAAAAAAGAAACGAAATAAGTACAGAAAAATGAAACAAAAAAAAGTCAATAAACAACAAACTGCCTGCTACAGTAGAGCAAGCGATCCAACTAGATAACGTATCACATTCGTTTTCGTTGCCTGCCATGGATTGCAGGGGGGTTGTCCTGTGTTCCGCCAGGGGGCTCAGCCGCGTAGCGATCCCTTGGCCCCTCGGGAGTAAAAGCGTAGAGTTGAGCAAGGGAGCCCGCGCACCCCGGGACCTGCCCTGGGCCCAGCCAGCCCCACCAGCCCCGCCCTTACGACGGCTTGGCGGGGGTGGGCGGCCCCGAGCCCGTGGGCGACTGGCCTCCGCTGGAGCCGTGGCTGCCCGTCGACCCGGGCCCTGCCCCCTGAGGGGGGCCCTGCACCGCGACGGGGGGTGGTGGACCGGGGGGAGGCGGGGGCCCGGGTCCCCCCAGGTCCTGGCTGGTGTCCATGGGCTCGGCGTGCGGCGGCGCCACAGTAAAGTACCGGTCTGCAACAAAACAGCCTCGATCAGCATCGCGGAGAGGACGGCAGGACTCGAGGCCGAGGGTACTCAATGCTACCCACCGTCGTCGATGAGGGTCTGCTGCGAGGGCTGGTCGCCGGCCACGCCCGCGGGCAGCAGGGGGGCCATCATGCCGTACTCCTCCTCGAGGCCGATGAAGGCGGTGGGGCCGCCGGGGTTCCACCGGGCGGGAGGTGCGCCGGGGCCGCTCAGCGAGACGGGGACGCCCGTCGGGCCGCCCGAGGGCCCCGTCGGCGGTCGCAGGCCCGCCCCACCGAGCCCCGAGCCACCGAGGCCCGCGCCCAGGTTGACGGCGCCGCGTGAAGCGCCGGGGGAGGACACCAGGAGGCTGAGGTTGGAGGCGCTCACCATGCCGCCCACCGAGCTCGCCGCGCTCACCGACATGGACGGGTAGCTGAAGAGCTGCGACGAGGACACACGCCAGTTAGTGGGCGCTCGCACCGCACAAGGCACGCGTCTCTGTTCCAGTTCCAGTGCCGCTCACCTGGCCGGGCTGGTGGATGTGACTGAAGGCGTACTCTCTGCTCACGGCGAACGGGCTGGTGACGACGGACCTGGACTGCTGGTCCTGCGACCCGGGCGACCCGGATCGTCCTCCCCTGGGAGACTCGGGGCCCATGGGCGGGGAGTGCGAGCCCACGGGCGGCGGCGTGTGCGCGCCTACCGACGGCAGGTCGCCTGCAAAGACCAAGAAGCACGCCCTGTTACTACGCGGTCCTAGGGGCCTGGTGCGGGGAGCGCGCCCGCGGAGCGGAGGGTAGGCCGCCCCGCCAGACGCGCCGGGCGGGCGGGCTGCCCACCCAGCACCGTCCGCCGACGCGGACCTGACGCTCGCGCTACTGACCTGAGGACCCCGTGGACCTGATGATGGCCACGGGCCGCGCCATGGGCGGCGGTGGGGGAGGTGGGAGCATGGAGCTGCTGTAATACTGCGACAGTCTGGTGGGGCTGCGGCCGCTGCTCACCTGGGGGAGAAGAGAGGCAAACGTGCGTCAGTCCAAACGGTTCCGGGTCGATAGTAATGCTATCAAAACCCGATCTGCGCATTGTATCGTCATTCTCTCCATCCCTTCCTTTTACGTAACGACAAGTGAGAGTTGGTGAAGGGTTATGATGTCACATTTTGCAGATCGGGCGTTGTTGCACGGGGTTGTCAGAAGGCAAATAAATAAATTCTTAAAACTTTCAGTGTTTTTTTTTCTTTACAAATTTTATATCTTTTTTACAATGTTTAGAATTTTTCCTTTCTGTTTTTTTATTGCAATTGTTGATACTGTCACCATTTTCCACAATGGTAGCAATGTCCTTACCTGCTGGCCTGTATCCCCCTCCTGATTGCAAACGAATGTGACGAAGTCGGATAAGGTATCGTGTCCGTTCTCGGGGTACTTGTTGGGGCTCTGCTGCTGCTGTTGCTGCTGGCTGGGGTCGGGGTGGTGGCCGGGGTGCACGTGGGAGTAGTAGCTGGTGTGCTGCAGCGACACGGAGCTGTGCGGCGAGGGCAGGCCTGCAACACCACACACTGGACTTGAATGAGGACGAAGTGGCAACCCGCGGCCGGGGCAGGGGTTCGTTTGGCGTGGGTAAAGGTCAAAGCAGACAGGAAGATGAGACGACATAGACAAAAAAAGACAGGCAGACACCGCAGGACACACCCGACATGCAGACACAAAAGCAAGTCCACCATGCAGAAAAAAGGCGATCGCCGACACCACAGAGAGCATACGCGCCTTGGACCTGAGCGCCCGGGCCCCCCGCCTCTCGGCGAAGGGCCGACCGCGCGGTAGCCAACACGTGAACGATCTGACCCCATCTGATTCCACCACCAATAAGTGTGCCTCGGCCGGCTGGCCGACGTACCGTCACGGCGGGGTGGCAGCCTGGGCTTGAGGCTCTTGCCGCTCAGCTGCAGATGGGGCGACGAGCCAGAGGGCCCGGCGGACCCGCCTGGAGCGAGAACACTGCCAGTCAGTACACTACACACTCTCAAAATAAAACCACACGATCCGAGCAAGCTGTGTGGGGGGAGACTGACAACACGCGAAACTACACGATACTAGTGGGAAGGGGAGAGGGGGCAGAGGCACACACAAGAGTATAAACGAGTTAAAATAGGATTCATCCAAAAAAGGGAGGGGGAGGAGATTAATAAATGCAAGTTGTTTTCTAAAACATTAGACTTTTACATTAAACTCAAACAATAAAACACACTTTCAAAGCATTTCCAGACTACAAGCGCTACCCTTCGATTTGTATTTATCTAGGAAACTAAAGCTAATCTACTTTCAAAACTTCATATCAAAAAAATAAAGAATCTAAAGATTTTTTTTTAAAAAAAAGGAATTCTCGGAAATTCTACATTCTAGGAGTCAAAGTCAACAGAACTTCATCTTTTTTTACTGATAAAATACTTCGTCAAATCAAAGTCACTCATTTTTGGTGCTCACCTAGTCCGTGGTCGACGTCCGAGTGCCAGGAGGCCTGCGAGGACAGCGACGCGGGGCTCTGGGAGTAGTACGTCACGTCCTGCGGCTTGTCCCTGCTGGGGGCGGGACCACCGCCCCCCGCGCCGCCGCCAGGCCCCGCCCCCGGCCCCGCCCCCAGCTCCAGGTCGTCCTCCGAGGAGAGCCGCCTCAGCCGCTTCGTCCTCGGCTCGCCGGGACTTTGGGAACTTCTCGGGAGAGACAGCGGGCCTGCGTTAAAAGAAAAAAAAAGTGATGTTAGGAAAAGAAAAATCCCATGAGGGAAGACTGGCTGGAGGAAAGAAAATGGCTTAAGGTTTTAAACTCTGAGCGGTTTACTCACTGTAGGCCACGGTGGTCATGAGCGGCGCGTGGTCGGGGGCGGGGGGCGTGTAGCTGTTGCAGTAGTAGCCGGGGTTCTCCATTTTGATGCTGCTGACCGGTGGAGCCATCCCGTTGGGACCGTGTATGATTGAAGCTGCAACATCAGTAATGGGAGTACAGCACACCGGCCGATAACACAACAGCGTCTTACAGGAACGTTCAGGTACAAAGTAACGTGTCCATATCCATCCCAGCCATGATATCTTTTTCTGGAAACAGGGGGAGGGTAAAATGACGGTTTTCACCATGGTAAAAAATCAGAATCCTTTACTGCAGATTCCCTTTCGTCCTTTCGTTACTAAAAGTCCAAAGCCCCTCCTCTCCGCGTGTCCCCATAATTTTTCACTTCCGTGTCGTCACCTCTCCCTTTCCTGCTCCACCCGGATCCCAGTTTTTTCTCCCCCCTATTTAAAACGACGTAGTCACTGCGATAGCGGACCTGGGTTATCTCTTGATGGTCAGCGCGGGGTGGGGTGGGACGGGGGTAGTTAGCAAGTCTATTGGGGCGGGGCCGGCGGGGCGGGGCGGGAGGCGCGCCGCGCGCCGTGGAGTGTGCCCGGGCCAGTCGGCCTCTTATGATGCATAGCTCCTTCTCTTCCAGCCCAAAAGTTGGCGAATAAACTTGGACGTTATGCGTGGGGAGGACGGTGGCGGGGCCACTCGGGCCACTCGGCGGCAGCACTGTCCGGTGGAGCGGCCGCGTCCGAGGGGAGTGCGCACCATCCCCGCGGGAGCACCCCGGAACACCCGCGGGAGCCCCGCGGGAACACCGCCCGGCTTTCACACGCAGCTTGCCAGAGGGTCAGCCGGCCAGGCCGCGCCGCCGGGGAGCCCCGCGTCCCCGTCCTCTCCTACACTCCGCGTATCGCTATTCGCAGAGGAGATAAATCAACGTTATTTACACTCTAACAATACTTTTATATGTAAAACCAGATTTTTTACCCTCCTCCTCCACTTCCCCCTTCTCCTCCTCCCCCACCTCCCCCCGCGCCGTCCTGGCAGCCGCGCGCGCGCGAAGAACAAGCGGAAGACAAATGTTTTAATTAGCACTACAGACAGCGGAGAGGGCGTCGATACAGTATCTAACTCGCAAACAATCCAATAAAAACTTGTAGATCTATCGCCCCGACGCCGGGAATGAGGGGAGAGGGGGTGAGGAGGGAAGGGGAGGACAGAGCGAGAGACACAGCAGAGAGAGGGCAGAGGGGGACCAAAGGCACTGAGCGGCAACTTCGACAGTCGTAAATTCATTGCGTTATGCAAAGTGGCAGAAAAGTTGGGTGAATCGCTTTTAAATGCCCCCGGGGTCCTTTTCCACCCCATCCCTTTTCGACGCCAATCCGGGCGGAAGATTTAAGCCCCTCTGGTGCTCTCGGGCTGCCGGAGGCTGCCGGGTCACATGGCGCGGCGCGGGACCGGTCAACGGACAGGTGCGCGCTCGACGAGCACAGGTGAGTACTTGACGAGCTCTAAGTGGGTACTTGAGGAGCACCAGGCGGGCACTTGACGAGCACCAGGTGGGTCCTTGACGAGGGGTGTCATCACCTCCGCCCTTAACTCAACGCGTAGCAAGCAGTCACAAGCAGCCCTCCTAACCCTCGCACTCTTCCCCACCACCACTCCGCGCCCCTACCCTCCCCGCTTGTTCACGCCATTTGCGGACGAGAAGGAAAGCCAGGACATCAGCGAAATCTGGCGGTGTTGGAGCGCGGGGCGCGGCGGGGCTGCGGGGGGCGGGCCGGGGCGCGCAGCGCAGCTCTGCTCGGGGCTTTTTCTCCTCTGCCGCTTATGTGAAATCCATGCCGCCGAAGCACCACCGCCACCGCCGCCGTCGTCGCCCGCCCTGCGCGCCGGTGGGCCCCGCCGCGCCCGGGGAGGGACGGGACGGGGGCATTTGCCATTTTGGCGTTAATGGGAGGGGAGGCAGGGTAGGGGCTGTACCCGGAGCCCGGAGCCGCCCGGCCCGTACGTCATCCATTGCACACACGACATTAGCGTTGTCCTCCTTATGTAAAAGTCCCCGAGGCCTATGCCCGGGCCGGTATAGAAGGAAGACGCTCTACTGCGCCTTCTTTCTCTTGCTCCCAGCTTGCTGCCGCTGCTTCCCCATCTTGAAGAGTCAAAGCTGTTTGGGGAAAGTGCGGCCCGTCGCGTCCCGTTGCGCACGCCGCATACGTACAGCATACGTAAAAAACAACACCCGAGAAAAACTACCAGGGAAGTGTGAAATTTGGGTGGAGGCTTATAACTACTTTTGTCTTTCACAGTGCTCTTTAAAAAGGGGGCGACGCCAATAGGAAGCGATAAAAAAGTTCTCAGGAAGGAGAAGGCAGCTTTCACTTTTTACATGCCCGAACTAACGACTTTGTACCGGGTTTGCAAAATAAGAGCACTCTATCGCTCAAACCCCACGCGGATCAGTGAGTAACGATCCATCGCGCACCCTCCTCCTGGCCGCGGTGTCGTCGCGAAAGCGGTCGAGACATTACCGCGCGGCGGTCAAGAGTCATCAGCTCTCACCCGCGACCAAGTGAAATGATGTGATGTGGTGAAGGGCTGGGCGGCGATCAGCTGTGCGGGGCGGGGCGGCTCCCGGCCCGGGGGTGGCGGGGCGGCGGCGGCGGCCTTGTGACTCACTTGGCGCTCCGCGCCCCGCACGTGGCCGACGGCCAACCTTGGTGAACCCCACTGTTTTCGTGGTTGAAAGAAAAGTCGTGCGCCCGGCCTCCAACACGGCGCGGCGGGGTAAGGGGTGTGAGGAGTAAGTTTTTTTCAAAAGTAAAAATTACACAAATTTCTCTGATTAATTTCTCAAATTGTTCTCAAAATTTTTCATTAAAAAATCAGTTACTTTACAATTTTTTCTGATTGCTAGGCGGGGAAACAACATCGCGGTTCCTTCAGTTAAGTAGTCGCCATTAAAATTAGGTGCGATGAAACAATTAAAGCTCTGCGGCCATGATTATTTCAGCTTCCCGATGCGCTCTGAACCACTCTAAAGCTCTGCCACAAATAAGAAAGGGTAAAGGGAGCAGTAGGAATACACAGGAGGCTGAAGGACGGGAGAACTAGAGTCTGGTGGGATCGTGACGTTACACTCATTGCCGTGCGAAATTAATCACTTTTGCATGTGTTGGCTAATTTTGGATGCTGCACCCGACTGGGTGCGCCGATTGGAGTCAGTCGGAGAAATCCTTATGCCCTCCACCAGAAAACCAAATTGCTACAACAGCTAAAGGCACTACAGAGTAGAGTGGGTTCGGAGCTCACCTTTGGACAGCCGCCACAGCTCTTTGGAGGAGAAAACGCCGGTGGCTAAGATGGTATTGTTGCAGACCACTCCGTTGTACGGATTGTGGGAGTACCCTGCAAACAAACAACAAAGTCCACCTTGAGAGTCGCCGCAGAGTATAAGTATTATAATAATAAAACAGCTTCGAGGAAGCTGTAGCAATGTATTACAGGGACACTGTGCAGTTTTTATTTCCGACCCATCCCCCATGGAAGACCCCCGTCTCTACCAAAAGACTGCTTCGAGAAATCTCGTCGGCTGTTTCGTTGCAGTATGGACATATATAGGCGTTGTTGACTGTGAGGGAGATTGAAGCAGACGCAACTCCACCGAGTGGGATGGAGATGGAAGATGAGGCAGTAAGGCGGATGAAGAGTATAACCCCTGCCGAGTCCCCTGCTCTCCTATAAGGTCCGTTGAGCCTCTAGCTACGCCAGCGGTGGTCGGCATCGGCACGACGCAAGAAAGAAACAACAAACTGCTGTCGCACTGTAGTGTTGTACACTACTACACCCACCAACGGGCGGGCCGTTACAGGCCTCTCTCGGCCTCTCCCTCTTTGGCCCACATTTGATTGATGCTGCCGGGGCAATATAGTTCAGAATTGCAAATGGACTTCCCCGACCCGGCGGGGGGAGAGGGGCAGGGCTGGGAGGGG